ATTTATTTATATTTTAAAAAACAAATAATTGTTGTATATACAACTTTTCATTCATATTTCATATTGTTTATATTCAACTTTTACCTTTTCGCTCTTTGAATCATCGCTTTCATTCTTCCCTCTCTTTCACTATCTTCACTATCTTCCTACTACACCACCCTCAACTGTTCAACATGCATTGACGCTCTATTCTATTCAGAAAAGTGCTTACCCTTAAAGCTTTTGGCCACTTGAATAGGCCAGCAGCAGAGCTGGCGCCGCTTTGGCTTTCATGAAATCGGCTTTCAACAGTTCGCATACATAAAAGTGCAGATTCATGTTTTGTTTGACAAAATCCGTATAAATCTAAAGAGCAAATGCCGTAACAAGCAGCCGTCAGTTAACTGGCTCGCACATGAGCCGGATTTAAGCGAGAGGAGTAGATAGAAGCAAAAGCAGGAGCAGAAACAGAGGCAGCAGCAGCTCCAACTGGCAAAGCATCCGCTAAATGGAATTAGCCACAGTCAATGATGGCTCAGACAGGTGGCTAACAGCAGCCCCGACTTGGGCACGTGTTGCGCTCAAATACAATTTTCACACCCATTAACAAATTTGCATAATTACAGCAGGGAGTTGTTGCTGTCAAAAAAAAAAAAAAAAACCTCGAAAAAAAAAAAACGAAAAATGCGCCTCATTAACGCATTGCGCATACGCCGCGTAGTTCGCCGTTCAGTGCTCGCTTTGAAGTGCTCGGACACTCGACACTCCTAACCTGCGGCCGTTTGTTAATTTATGTGCCACAAAGTAAATGAGCTCTTCATGACACTCAAGAGCCGCGCCACGCACGTTGCCAGCGCGCTAAATTATAAATGCATTGAAATTAAAAACAATTACATGAAATTACATTTTCCATAAATACATACAACTACGTGTAAATGTATGTATATATGTATATGTATGTATGTATGTCTGTCGTAAAACAAATAAACTGCGCATAATGATGCTAATCCCTTAAGCCAGGCAAACCCGACCACCCCCCGCGCTCCCGCCCGGCCCAATTAGTCGCGCGGGCGGCCAACAGGCGGCGACTGCGGCCTGTGGGCAGTGGGCGTGCTGCCCACAAAAAGTGCTATCAATTTGCATTGCGTTTGGCTCATTAGCAGCGATGGACACTTTTGCTATTTGCCCGCCTAGCTGGCACATTAATATTATTTATAGTTATGAAAATACACAAACGAGGTGCGCCCAAAAAGTTGAGAATTTAACTATATATAACTTTATATGATAGCTATATATATATATGTCAAATATGTCTTTTATGCATTCAACAGCCAGCAAATAGAATATATAAGATAGTGCTATAGAAATATGTAAGAGATAAGAGGAAACTCTGGTTATATGTCTGCATGAATCTGGCTATAAATACTTACTTACCCTGTGAAGAATAATAAGTAAAACTAAACATCAACACAGTTATATTCCTCTATTATATTCAATATAAATATATAGACAAATCTATAAATACTTTTCCGCTTAWCTTATTTTTCGTACTGATTAAAATTTATCAGCAGCTATGCAACATTTATATATTTTAATTATTTATTTATAAGTGCTGTTATCTATTAATAAAACCGCTTTATGGCATATTGTCAATCGGTAAATGCCTCAAATAAACCGGCCAAGTTCACATAGCAGTCGTGGCCGAGCGGTTAAGGCGTCTGACTAGAAATCAGATTCCCTCTGGGAGCGTAGGTTCGAATCCTACCGACTGCGAGAGAGTAAATAATGTTTTTTTTAATTTATTTTTTATTATTTTTTTTATTAATCAATTTTTTTATACAATTCAAAAAATTAGTATTTGCATAATTTTACATTTTTTTTCTTTAAAAAAAAACTTTTGAACTATCCCCCACTCATGTAAGCAAGAATTTCGAGTGCCGCATTTGGCATTTGGTAAAATATTGCGGTTTGCCTTTAGTCGACAGCGGCAAAAATGTTAAGCTTGAATTACAGCTCAATGCGTGTTAAATATTTATTTAAAAAAATATTATATTTATTGTGCGAGTATTTTGCCATAATAATTAAATGTCAACAGTATTAAATGGCATAAGAAAAACAGCAAAGCTGCCATTGACAGCTATATTGTGCTCTACAGAGCTGGAAAATATACATACATACATATATGTATATGTATATAGCATAGCTTTAAGCTTTTAGTGAAAACTTGTGCGAGTCTCCTACAACATTTCCACTCCAACAATTCTGACATTCAACAACATTTGCCATACAATAGCAACAATATATATTTTATATACATATATATATATCCGATCAATTGAGACTGGATTTCCGTGTTCCGCCGTCAACTTTCAACTTATTATACAAATCGCAGACGTCGCCAGAGTAAATTTGCTGCGTCGCTAAGCCGAAAGTCCAACAAGAAAAATCACTTTTCGACCTGTCCCCAAAAAAAAGTGGGGCGGGGCTGAGGGGAAATTTTCTATGGAGTCAAGTTAAGTGGAGATTTGCTTTCGTTTTTCAAATGATTTTTCGTTTAATATGCCAAACACAATTTTACTTTTGATTCAATATGCAGAAAGATAAACGTCAATTTGTCGGTGCTATGTATATATATGTAAAATATATGTATGTATGTATATATTCTTCAACTTTTTAATCTGAAGTTAAAGCCAAGACAGGAGCTCACGTGAGCGGGCAAATGGCATTAACATTAACTTCTTGCTAGTGCGAACATAAAAGATGTTGTGGCTAGATTTATGTTGGCAGTTTTACAGTTATTTTAAGCACTACCTAAAGACGCTAACACACACAGACACAGGCACACTCACACGCAGATAGAGATAGAGAAAGAAAGAAACAAACAAACGGTTCAACAAGCAAAGTAACAGCTACTTAAGCGAAAAGGAGCTGGGCAAAGTTTTGCAACTATTAAAGTATTAAGTAGATGTGCATCAAGAAGCTGCAACAGCAGCAGCAGCAGCAACACGACACCAACTTTCAACATTGCTGTAAATGCATTTCTCTCACAACACAAACAACAACAGCAACAGTAAGAGCCATGGCAACAACATGGCCAACTTTTGTCCGTTGGCCAGCTTCTTGCTGGCTCGTTCAGTTCGGCTTATGCGCAATGCTTAACACTTTTCTGTTGTCCTGGCCAGCTCGAAAGCTGGCTTAAAGTGTATAATAAGTGGTATCTTTATGTGAATAATTGTGGCCAGGACAGAGTTGACACCTATGCTGGAAATAAATATATTAAAATTAAAATTTTGTAATGCTGCTACTACTTATATTTCTTTTGTCACTACTATTTTTATTACTTTTTATATTCCTACCAGTTTTACTTCTACTTCTATTACTTTTATTCATCTGCTCTAATACTTCTTATATTTCTACTACTAACTTAACTTTTTATACATGTACTAATACTATTTTTACTACTACTTCTACTATTAATTTAAGTTCTTATACATATACTACCTCTATTTCGACTACTAATTTTACTTCTTATGCATATACTACTAATATTTCTACTACTACTTCTACTCCTAATTTAATTCCTTATACATACTTCTAACCTCTACTTCTACTACTAATTTAACTTCTTATATACTTTTACTACTATTACTACTTCTTCTATTTCTACTTCTTCCCTAATTCAACTGTTGCTTTGACTAATACACCTACTAAGCTCGACTCAATCCTACCTATACCCTCTGTTCTTGCAGCTGTTCATCATTCCCAATTCAAATCCTACTCCTCCGACTCCCTAACATCAATTAATGTATTTGGAATAATTTTTTAAATCGATTGATTTACAGCATTCAAATCTTTTGACTTCTCTGAAATATTCAGCATGATCTGAAGGTTAAAAAAAGTAAAGAAAGGAATAGCAAGCTGACATCTCAGACTGTGGGCCAATCCCTGCTTTTTGTTTGATATATGCGCTCGTCTCAGCTTTAAATCAATGTTGACAAACTTTTATTGGATAAGTTTGTTTAACGACAGGCATAAGAACACAAACGCAAAACGCAGGTAAAAAGTTTACAGTTCGCTTCGTTTTCTTTGCTTTTTGCTTTTGCTTTTGCTTTTGCCTCTCCTTGCGGACTTTGTTGAAAAATCAAATTGAGCAAAAGTTGAACTTATAAGAAACTTTTGTGCTAACGCGAATAAAAACAAGTTGCATTCCAGATGGGGCTACATGACTCGAAGATACCTAGATAAAAGAGCTAATTTTGATATGAATGATGGGATACTCATATACCTATACCTATACTCATATCTATACTCAGCTAAAAATAATAAATAAAGAAAGTGTGATAACAAAGCTCTTAATAAATAGACGAAGGTTGAGTTTATGCAGTTGATAAAGTTACAGTCTTGTAAAACAACTTACATACATTAGCGTACAACTAATATACCCTCTGTGGTCTCTTACTCACAGAGCATTAAGATAAAGGCATGGGCTGGCAAGTTTGCAATTTGATTTGTGCGCCAAGTACGAGCAATTGATTAGCCTGATTCGAGTTCAGTTCATGAGTAGCCAACCAGCCGCACACTCACACTCACACCCACACACACTCAAACTCATTCACTCAGTGGCACTCACTTACTATCTCATTCACACTCAGCCAGGCACTCACTTATGATTGGCTTTTCACCTTATTTTTTAGTGTTGAGGCAGCTGGCTGGTGCCCTGGCTTTCGCTTCGGCTTCAGCTTTGCGTATCTTCAGTCGGCAAAGTTTGCTCGCAATTTGCTAACGCTTTGCGGTGGCAGCGACAGCAACTGTTGCACTTTGGCTGCCAGCTAGGTGAACTAGCTCAGTTCAGTGTGCGCCACAGACTCACAGCTGTTTAATATGCTGTGAAATTGCATTACATATTGAGAGAATAGAAAAAGAGTTGGCTTGCGGTTAGCCGGCTCAGCTGCTCGACTGCTTAGCTGCTGCCTGTTGCCCTTTGCTAGCAGATAAGCGTATTAGCATAAGAAACTACACACACTTGTTGGGTGAGGCTGTATGTGTGGGTATGTCTTATCTGCATTTACCTTTAATCATCTCTAATTTTGTATAATTAGAAGCTAAGCATCTGCTATTTTGCAGAAATGAAACTGTTATTTCAGAAGCTTTGAAATTTAAGCGAGCTTTTATGTACTTGGATATGCTATTTAACTATTATGCTTCAGTTCATTTCAATATGTACATAGTAATAAAATATATGTATAAAGATGCGTTTAGTTAATAGAGCTTAAAGCTGCAAGTCAGCTTTAATGAAATTTTACTGCTCATTATATCTCTTGCTATACATAATATTCTAAAATCTTATGCGTATAAAAAAGCATTTAGTTTAAAGAGCTTAAGCTTCTATGTGAGCTTTAATACATTCATTTATTTTTATGGGAATATACGTATATCATGTGTAGGTATATATTAAAAAACTTTTTCATCAGCTTTAAGCTTTAACGTATTTTGTGCTTCAGTTTATACTTATAGAATAGCTTTAACAACTGTAGCCTACATTTATATTCCCAACTATTAAGTTTATAACTCATTCCAACAACACATTAAAGTCCACATACTTGATTTTACTTAAAGTCCAGTCATGTTTTCATTTTCGTCTAATGTCTTCTGTCTGTAATACCCGTAAACCTAAATAAGTATCACATGGACTAAGTTAAATCGTTGGCTGGCCAGAGGCGTTCGACGCGTCGCCTGTCGCTTGTCGCTTGCCGTGGGGCTAACAAAATGAAAGCTTGTATTGCATTTAAAATGCAATAACCGGATTAGATTGTGTTGTTGCCATATCAGCATGTCCTTGCTGCTGCTCTACCTGCCTCTGCCTCCCCCTCCCTCTCTCTCTCTCTCTCTCTCTCTCTCTCTCTTTCTCTCTCTTTGCCTCTCTTTGCTGTTGCAGTTGTTGCATGTTACTTTGGTATTTATAGAGTTTTAACGCAATCGCAATTTCAGTTGACATTGTTCGCTTTTGGCCATTGTCAGCGCCATTTGCTGCCGGCCCCCGTCGATAGCTGGCTGCAGGTATGTCCGCCCGGCCGACAGACTCACCCCCCATTCCCCATTTACCACTCCCCACATAGCCAATACTCACCGTACAGTGCGCAATCTATCGCTGTCTGCCTCATGAAAAATGCATTTGCCTGCTTCCACATGTTGCGAGCCGGCAACCAGTTGTTGCCACGAATAACTTCATTTGCAATTGGCCATGTTAATGTTGCTCTTTCATATTTTGGTTTGGTTCGCTGGGCCTATGCAAGGAGCAACATATGAATTTTGGTAGTCAAGAATGGGTTGCGATTTCATGAGATTGAATATTCCATGGAGCGGAATGGAATGAGACTTCTCTTTATGGCAGTTTAAAAAACTTTGCTCTTCATTCAACAAAGTCCCTAAATTTGTACAGATTTTTATTTTTAATCAATCAAGTTCAGTTGTTTTTTTATATTTATAGCAGGAAATCTCATAATTTTCAGACAGCCTCCTTTCTCTTACATCAATCACAAATTTGACAGCTGCAGCACCTGAGCTCAAAAAATTCAGCGGGGCGGGGGGAAAGCCTCATTGATGGGCAAACAAATTAAAGAGAATGCAAATAAGTCAATTCCCATTTCAAACATGAGATGAAATTAATGCGCTACAAAATAAATACGACAAGATAAATGTTTTTCTTTTCCTTTCTTTTTTTTTTTTGAGGGGGTAACAAGATAAAGCGACGGCAGCAGAGCTAATAAAAATACACGAGTCCTGTGCGCGTCCTTCCAAAGTGTGAGAGTGTGAAGAATGCCTTTGGCTGTGACAGGGTGTGCGTGTGTGTGTGTGTGTGTGTGCGTATGTGTGGCACGTTTAGCATTTCAAAAGGCGTATTGTTTATTTTTCTTTCTTGCTCTATCTGCTTTCTCTTCATTTTTCTGTGCATTTTCGCATTCAATGTTATTTATCTGCGCTTTTATACGTATCTTATGTGCTGAGCCCCTCTCGTCGCCGGCCTTTGTAACCCAAGTTCACTTTCACAGTGAGTTTTTGCCGTAGTTAACTTCTTTGTAGTTTTCGCTTACTTATTCATTTCTTGTTTGCCTCTGACTGTGCCTGTGTGTGTGAGTGTGTGCTTGTGCTTGTGTGTGTGTGTTAAACTCGTCTTGCTGGAAATTGTCACGTACGGCTACAACCTTTGCCACTTAAAGTTTTAAGTTGTGCGGCGATGTAAAAATATGTTTTAATTCCATAATCAGCTTCGGCTACGAAATCAATTCCCCATTGTTCGAGCGAGTCCAAAAATCAAAGCATACTTT